GAGCAGGGCCGGCAGCGTCGACCTAACGTCCCGAGAGATGAGGAGCCGCTGCAGGACAGGAATCAGAAAAGAGCAAACAACTGCACAAGCATGCAGCCATCGTGCTACCATGAGGGACGCCGAGTGGGGTACGGGGCGGCGGGCCGCGGCCACGAACATGCTCCCCCGGCCTAGATCTGAGGAGCCGCCCGAAGGCCAGAGCCCCTCCTGGATCCCGACCTGGCCCGTGCGTCAGCGTCTCGAGTGTTCAAAGGTTGGCGCAGATGCCCTGGGTCGGCGCAGGAGCCCCCTGGCGGCGTCCGCGGCGCCGCCCCCGGCGCGCTCCGCGCGCCGTGGGAAGGGGGGCCCAGCGAGGGCCCAAGAGGTCCGCGCGGCCGTCCGAGGCAGACTACGCTTCTGCTCCCCCAGCTGCTCCCCGCCCCCGAGGGCGGGAGCAAGGCAACGAAGGAGGGGGCGAAGGGGAGCAAGGCGGGGCGAGATGGCGCAGCGGGGGCCGGGGAGGGGAGGGGGACGCGAGACGCAGGGGAAGGGGGGGGGGGAGAGGGGCAGGGAGCAGGGGCAGGGATGCCCGAAAGGGGGGAGGCGGCTGGGGGAGGAGAGAAAGGAGGGGGCGAAGTGACGGTGGGGAGCACGGAGCATGCGTTGGCCTCAAAGGCAAGTGCCGGGACAAGAAGAAAAGGGACCAGCGACAACGACGAGTGAGAGAGCCAGGAGGGGTGGCTCCCGCGCGACCAGGAGAGAAGCCCCGACCGGCCAGGAGGCGACCAACGACTGTGCTGCGAGCAGGAAGGAGGGAGGGCAGGAGGGGAGGGCGGGGCGCAAGGAGGGGAGGATCGCATCGGCTGTTCACGCGAGCGCCGAGCCCTTCAGTGTTCAACGGTCGAGGTTGACCCTAAGGAGCCAGAAACAGCTCAAAGATCCAAGCCCCGAAAACATGTCCAAGACGGAGGCAAACAAAAGTGAGTCCTGAGCTCGAGTCGGGGGAGGAAGGAGGGGTGAGAAGGGGGGAAGGGGGCATCGGGGAGGAGCGGTGCAAGAGCAGAGGAGGGCGACGAAGCACTGCACCGCACTCCTGCGATGCTCGCCATCAGCGCGTCCATCCGCACCAGCGCATACTGAGAGGTCTCCCACATGGGATCCAAAAACACGGGGTCGAAGGAACGCGCCGCACCGCCGATGCATCGCCGATGCATCGGCGACGTCTGCGATGCATCGGCGACATCGGCGTGGAGAAAATCGGGCTGCACTTCGAGCAGCATCGCCGATGCATCGGCCATGCGGCGCGATCCTCCGACCTCATCTACTACGACCTCATTTAGGCGGCCTGGAAAACCAAAACACTAGTTTCCCCTGCCCCCTGCGAGGGCAGCAACTTACGACCCAAGAAAGGGGCCGGGTGCAAACGGGTCTTGGACTCTGCGGCGTTCCCCCCGTCCAGGTCGTCACACTAACAAGTTGGTTGACTGCCCCGGGGCGTGGAAAGTGTCCCAGACGTCCGAGCACGTTGGAAAGCATCCAGTGGCCGATTCCCTCATGGTGACCTGTCGACAATGCAAAACTGCCGAGTGCTTCTCTGTTGGCCTCGGCATCCTGCATCAGCTGGTGCCCGCCCTCTGGCCCCAGCCGCACACGCGCAGCTTCATCGAAGGCGTCCGAAGCAAACAGGACATCCACGTATGATTTCGCCACCTGGGCTCGAGCAGCAGTGCTCGACCGCATCAGCACAATCCCACCAGCCCTCTGGGCGTAGGTGGTCTAGGGCGATTTCTCTTCCAACCCCCTCCTTCCCCTTCGGGCAGGGGTTTATCACTGTCCCCTATTAGTATACAGCCCCTCCCCCAGGCGACCGGCGGCCAACCAGGAACCATACTCACCCCCCCCCATCCCTGTCAAAAAAATACAAAACGCATTCTGCCTCCACATTTGGAGAATGCGCGGCCAACCCGATGCGGCGCCCCCCTGTCAAAAAACAGCACAAAGTACACTGGAGGGCAACATGTTGAGTCATGTTCGTGAGGCCCGCGAGCACTTTGTATTGTTTTCGGCAGGGACGGCGGGGGTGTCAACATATTGCCTGCTGCGCGCAGGGCTGCCACCCCTAACAAAACACAATACAAAATGCACCTCGCGGCGAAATCTGGAAAATGCGCGGCCACCCCGCGATCACTGTCAAGTGGATGTTGACAGGGACGGCGGGGATGGTGGCAGATGGCCTGCTGTGCGCAGGCCATGATGGGCATTGGTTTTCAAAAGGGATTGTGGGGGCCAACATGTTTCCCGATGTGTGCTGTCACGTGCACAGGCGCACCTGACACACTCTGCACGTGCCCCCCGAACGTGGCGCACCTGGCGCGGCTGGAGTGTGCGGCACACCTGGCGCAATCGGAGCACGTGGCGCATGTGGCGCACCAGGTGTGCCTGGCACGCTCGGGCCCCAGGGGTGCCTGGCGCGCGTGGCGCGCCTGGCACGGATGGCGCACCTCGCCCCAGCGTCGCGCAGCTGGGGTCGGCGTTGGTCCATTAGCTGCCCATCCAAAGACGACCGCTGAACATGCTTAGGCTCGGGTGTTACTTATGTGTTGGGAGGGCAGGTGGGAGTGAGCTCGACGGCTTGCGGGCGGGTGGGTAGCTTGACCCCTCCCCGATACCCCCTCTCCTGGACCTGGACGGGGCGCCCCGCGAGGCGTTGGAGCGTCCAAGATGGCCGAAGACGACTCCAAGAGAGCCTCGGAGAGTCTAAGATGGCCTCCGAGATGGCTCAAGATGGCTCAAAATGGCTTCCAAAATGCTCCAAGAAGCCTCAGGACCGCTCCCCCCCAAGAGGCCGGAACCCTTCCAAAACCAGAGAAAAGTCAATGTGCGATACCTTCTCGCCTTTTCGCTTCCGATGGCCTTCCGAGGCCTCAAGATGGCTCCAAGATGGCCCAAGAGGGGTCCGAGAGAGCCCCAAGACGGCCCCAAGAGCGCCCAAGAGCGCTCCAAGAGCGCCCCAAGAGGCGATGTTAGACACTCTAGAAGGGCACGGCTGATTGATGTCCTCCAAGATGGCCCCGAGAGACGGCCAGGAGACTCCAAGAGGCCCCGAAGAGGTTCCCAAAAGGCTCCCAAGAGACCCCCAAGAAGCCGCAGAAAGCCTCCCTGGAACATCCAATGCGCCCTGGGAGGCCCTTGGGACCGCCCAGAGGCCCCCAAGACTCCCCAAGGGGCCTCACTAAGCTCCCAAGAGACATCCCAAAAGACTCCGAACGGCCTCTCACCCTTCTGCTCGCACTTCTCCTTCTTCGTCCTTTTCCTCATCCTCCTCCTCCTCATCTTCATCCGTCTGTTCCTCCTCCTCCCTCCTCCCTCCTCCCCCGTCCTTATCCTCCTCCTCCTCCTCTCCCTCCCCCTCCCTCTCCTGTGTCTCCTCCTCCTCCTCCTCATCCTCCTCATCCTCCTTCTCCTCCTCCTCCCTCCTCCTCCTCTCCTCCTCTCCTCAACCTCCACCTCATTATCCTCCTCCTCCTCCTCCTCTCATCATCATCATCATCATCCTCCTCATCCTCATCCTCCTCCTCATCATCATTCATCATCCTCATCATCATCAGCAGCAGCATCAACATCATCAGCATCATCATCATCATCATCATCATCATCATCATCATCATCATCACCATCATCATCATCATCATCATCATCATCATCATCATCATCATCATCATCATCATCATCATCATCATCATCATCATCATCATCCTCACCATCATCCTCCTCATCCTCCTCCTTCTGCTTCCCCTCATTGACAACGCCACTGGTTGCACAATCACCCCATCCACCCACCCGCAACTTGGTTTACAACACCCATGTGGCGGCGATTGCGATAGCTGCTTGGCTCTGATGACGCATCGCTGCTACCGCGCTGACACACGCAGACACGCGCGCAGAGCGGCCAGCTAGCCTGGCGCGACCGACGCGGCCGCGGTGGCGCTGACAGCTGGGGACTTCCCAGCGCCGCGCCTCGCGCTGACGCGCGGGCACTTCAATGCGAGTCGATGGCTCAAGCGGGCGCGGTATCATGGCAACGTCGGCAACGGCAGACACGATAATGATATTAACGATGCTGGCGGCGATGCCGACAATGACGACGGCAAAGCCAATGATGGCGCCGATGCTGATCACGCCGATGACGATGATGCTTTTCACGTATCGCTGTACCGACTGGGCCGGGATGGTATATACTCATGTGCAAGAGGCGGGGGGCAGAACCGTGTGCATATCGTACTATCCCCTCGGGGGATGATCCCTTGGGGATCATCCCTCCAGCACTCTGTGCGTAGGTGGTATAGGTAATTGTGCCTTCCAACCGTCCCCTTCGGGGAGGGGGTTACCCCTCCCTCTTACCCCCCTCCCCCCTGGACTTGGACGGGGCGGGTCGCGGGCAGTTGGAGCGTCCAAGATGGCCCAAGATAGCTCCAAGAGGGTCTCGGAGAGTCCAAGATGACCTCCAAGATGGCTCCAGGTAGCACAAGGTCGCTCAATATGGCTCCCGATTTGCTCCAAGAGGGTCCTTTATCATGAGTGGGGCGGGGGAGATGCGGCTCGGTCGGCCGCCCAGGGCCGTCCTGGGGCAGGAATGCTCTGGTGCCAAATTGCCTCGATATCCGCACTGAGGGTCGCGAGTGGCAATCATTGGCTTGGATTTTGCGTGGCAGACACCCGTTCCGTAAGAACGGGCGTGTGGTGTCGGCTGCTGCCCTCTCTGACGCCTCTCAGGAGTTGTTGGCCGCGAAGCTCGGTCTTGATGGTGCACCTCCCCTTGGACCCCCTCTCCCAGCACTGCTCACGGGTGCGGGGTCGACCTCGTTAGGGGGCTCGCCCTTTTGGGATTCTCCTCTCGCGCCGAGGCAGAGAGCCCCGGGCAGCGGGTCCTCGATGGAGGAAAAGCGAGGCGAGTGCACCCGACCTTGGAGAGCTCGGCGAGTGTTGACTCGTCTGTCTGTTTTTGCATGCCGAAATGGATG